TTGCAATTGCTATATTCAGAAGACGAGACTGTGCGTTTGTTGATGGTAAACACTTTGCAACAACTATCCACACACATATCATCATTTCATCAGCCTGAGATGTTGCAACGCTGGCTTCATTACCTCCGTGATCAAAATATGTCTGTAAGGCTCAGTTTTGCTTCTCATGTAAAGTATCTTGTGTTCAACCCTAAGTGGGTAGAAGAGAAGCAGTCTGAGTCAGAGGCTCTGTTGGAGGAACATATCCCACTCAGCCAGAAAGACAAAGTAGAGCTGACACAGTCCATTCCATTGCTTTCATTTTGCACTGAGGAGATAACAAAAGTAGTGTATGAAAGTTTAGCCGCAGGAGACCAAGAACTCCAGCGAACCATCATTTTTACCGTGAGATCACTTGGCAGGTGAGTTTCATATTTTAGTCCCTAATCTCACATTATAATGATCTAAGTATTTGATTGGATAAGGGAAATGAATGCTGAAAGAATTTTTATAGGGAAACCTCTTGGAAAGTGTTCATTTGTTATGCTAAAAGGAGATATGAGATTAGCATTAATATGGATGTTATCCTTTAATGTAAGGATGGTAGATGGATGGAATTGTCTGAGGATTGTTTGAGATGGTGTGTTTTGATGTTAGCCTTCAGGTTTTCCCATCACATTGTTTGTATTTAATTTAGTCTAATATTAATTATTTATTTGTATTATGAAAACACCATCACCATTGTAACACTCCTGTTGAGCACTGCCCTGAGTGAGCCGAGTCCAGTTCATATCATCATAATTTATGCCTATAATATTGTTTCTAATACTATTTACCATACATATACAAATTTGTCATGAAGCTGTAATCAAATCTTGGATGCAGCTTTAACATTGACACCTTTATCATTTAAGTGACACCCCAGTGCATTTACCAGTACTGTACATGTCTGCATTATTTCATCACCTTTATAGTTACACAATAGGCGTTAGTATCACTGTTCCAAAGGTCCCAAATTATCTTGATGCTCTTCTCATGGTAGGTCACCACCACTTCCCTGTCACATCCTTTCCAACTAACTCACTCATGGAGCTGAGACTTTCTTGAGAAGCCGCCAATTGTGCAGCTACTCGAGAACTTCTCAGCATTTTGTGGAACCTGAAGATTCATTTCCATGATCAGAAGAGCCCTCCATGGGTAATTATCCTGAGCCAGATCAATCCAAACCATACCATCCCATCCTATCTCTCTTAAGATCCATTTTAATATTGAAGAAAGCAGTCTTCTGGGATTTGGCACCGTGTATATGTGGTGTTGAAGACTGCTTTCTTCATAGTCACTGCCGTGAAAGCCTCAAATCTTACATTTTAATATTGCCCACTGAAATATGCCTTGGTCTTCCAAGTGGTTTCCTTCCATCTGGCTTTCCTACCAATATCTTATATATATTCCTCTTCTCCCTGTTCATGCTACATGCCCTGCCCATCTCATCCTACTTGACTTGATCATTCTGATTATACTTGGAGAAGAGTACAAGTTATGAAGCTCCTCATTATGCAGTTTTCTCCCACCTGTCATTTCATCTCTCTTCGGTCCAAATATTCTCCTCAACACCTTGTTCTCAAACACCCTCAGTCTATGTTGCTCCCTTAATGTCAGAGAAGAAAGTTCCACACCCGTACAGAACCGCAGGCAAGATTATAGTTCTGTATATATCTGTTTTTTATGTTTTTAGATAGCAGACGAGAAGACAGAAGGTTTTGAACTGAATGGTAGCAAGCATTACCCGAATTCATTAATTTCCTCCTGAATCAGTTTTTGATTTGTTATTGTTCCCAAATATCTGAACTGTCCCAGATTTTCAAAACATCTCACATATATTTATGTCATGATTTTGCCCTACATTTTGGTGATGAGACAGCAACATATACTTAGTTTTCTATGTGTTTACTTCTAGACCAACCTCCTTACTTGTGTCAGTTAAAGTTTGTGTCTTTTTCTTTATTGTCTCTCTATTACCACTCAGTAGATTATCATCGTCAGCACAGACCAACACCTCTTGTGTACCATTTAATTTCAGTCCCACCTGGTTTTCTTGGACCTTCCTAGTGGCATATTCTAAGACAAAGTTGAAAAGGAGTGGTGATACATCTCCTTGTTTTAGACCATTCTGGATAAGGAAATTATCAGACAAATGTTTACCTATACAGACTTTTGCCATACGTTTCATTTAAACACATTTTAATCAGCCCAAGTAGTTTCATGGGTACCCCAAACTCTATCAGAATATTGTACAATACTTCCCTCCTAACTGAATCAGGTTTTCTTGAAGTCTACAAATAGCTGATGTACTGTCTCATTGTACTCCCATTTTTTCTCCAGTATCTGACGAATGCAAAAGATCTGATCGGTAATTGACCTCTTAGTCAAAACCCACACTGATGATCCTCAGTAATTTCAGTTGTGTTTGGATTTAACCTTCAGAGAAGAATATTGGACAAAATTTTGTATGAAGTGATAACCCCAGATAATTACTACAGTCAGTTTTATCACCCTTCTTGTGCACTGGTACAATAATAGACTCCTTCCACTGAGCAGGCAATTTTTTCCTTATGCCAAATAAAAGTAATTAGATTGTGGATCTTAGAACGTAATATTTCTCTTCCTGCTTGAATAAGTTCTGCCGGAATTTGATTACTACCTTCTTCAGTTCATAATAACCTATACTCTCTTTGACAGAAATTTTGATATTCTGTCTAATAGTTTTCCTAGATTTATAAACTTCCTCCTCATTGTCTTAAGTTTTCCAAAGCCGCAGCTCTATTGGAGATTTCAACATGATACTGCTCTTTACTCTCTACCTTGTTTAATCTCTTGAGATTTCACCTCTCCATATGAACTCTTTCCATTGTTTGTTTGCTCACTGCCAGTCTTTCCCTAACCTTTGCCACCACCATATAGTGGTCAGTATCAAAATCTGTTCCCTGCATGATCGGACATCAAGTATACTTGAATGCCATCTCCTATCTATCAAAATATGGCCAATTTGATTGTGTCTTCCCATCAGGATATGTTCAAGTAAATTTATGGATGTTATGATGTGGGAACATTGTACTTTTGACAGTAAGATTTTTTGATGTGGCAAAGTTTACTACTCTAAGTCCATTATTATTACTAATTTCATTCAAACTCTCATTCCCAATTGTTGGTTTGAAAATGTCTTCCCTGTCTACTTTGGCATTTAAATCTCCTAACGAAATTTTCATATGGTACTTCAGGAATTTTTCAATTAAAGTTCTAGTTCATAGAAACTGTCCTTTGTATCATAAATGTTATCTTCTGTTGGGGCATGAACATTTGGAATGATTGTAACACACCAGCGACTTCTTAGTATTATGTATGACATCCTATCACTAACGAGCTCTACTCACTTAACTGATTGTATGATTCTCTTATGTACAAAAAGAAACCTGTACCAAATTCATGATTCTTGTTCGGCTTTCCACAGAGAAACCTATCTTCGCCTGCAGGTTCAGTGCCACCTTTGTCCCATCTGACCTGTACTCTCACTAAATCTAACTTATATTTTGAGATTTCTTCTGCCACTGCCCTGAATGAACCTGTCCTATACATACTTCTAACGTTCCAGGTACCAAATCTCCTACCCATTTTCTTAGGTTCATCCACAGAATCTGTCCAGTTCCAAGGTTTCTTGAACATTTTCGTGACAAACTTATTTTTGTTAGCCCCACGCCCAACAACGAAGCTGGAGGACCACCCCTTGTCAGTTGTCCGTGACTGCCTATTCAATATGTTCAGACCTTCCCTCCATATTTGGAGAACATCTCAATTGGCAACCTGAGGAAGCACCTTGCCGTGGTGACACGGGACCCACCTAACTTGGCCTTTCCAACTCAGTGTTCATAATAATTCTGAAATTTCTAATTTTATTTTGTAAAAATTTTGTAGTGACATGGCATCATTAAATAAATAAATCTGTAAGTGTGATCACTGCTTTGTGTGAATGTTATGGCAACACTGTCACTGTAACATTTTCTTTCTGTAGTAGTTTGTTATGGGGATAATTATTGTTCTAGTTAGGTTTGGTTCATGTTTGTTTCATTACAAAGTACTTTGTTTTTGCAGTGTTCCTTTGGATTGTGTCTTGCTACCAACTTTAACAAATCTTCTGGTGTTTATTGCACATCCATCCTCTTTGGTTCTCCCAATTGCTAAATTGAGTGTTGGTGAAATTGCAGAGGCGCATAATGTCCGACCTTATGACATCTACGTACGCTTTAAGAAGGAAATATGTGGTGTAAGTTTCACTTCATTTTATTTACAAGGGCTATTTCAAAAGTAACCTGCGTTTATTATAGGCAACTAATGTAGGGGGGAGGGGGAGCTCATGCATGCAAAGTAGTATCATGACTCATTGCCTTGCAAACCATCACATAACTTTTTACCTAGTGTTTATTCTTGTCTCTGCAGTTTGAGTTATGATGTGTCGTGTGATTCGTAATTCTGCTCTTAATTTTCTTCACACTAAAAATATGAGTGCTGCGGAAATCCATGATGAATTATGCGTGATTTATGGTCGAAATTTAATGCGTGAAGGAACTGTAAGACGGTGTAGAATTAGATTCTAAAGGGTTCTGATGATGGTGTATAACAGTCAAAATTATTTGGTTTTTGGACTTCATCCATGGTCTGGTATTCTAAAATCCAGAAAACACAACATTTCAAAAACTGGATCTGTTTCCATCCTCAGGTGGGAGGGAGACACCTACTCAGTTGGGTCCCTTAGAAAGAAGTAACCTTGATCACTGGACAGATCCAGTCCCCAAAACATGTTTTCTAGTTTTTAGATTACCAGACAATGGACAAAGTCTGAAGACCCAATAATTCTGAATGGTGTAGAATGGTCAAAGATGGGTGAACAAATGTTCACAACGAAGAGCAAAGTGGTCGGCCATCTGTAATGAGTGATGTTCATGTTCAAAATGTTGACCAACAAATTTGCGAAAGATGGTGCTTCACAATTTAAGAACTATCATATGAATTTCCAAAGATTTCCTGCACTGTTCTCTGTGAAATTATCACAGGCTGGACTGTCACAAGTTTTACTCAGATGGGTTCTGAAAATGCTCATGGATGTGCACAAAGTGCAGAGAATGGCTTGACTTTGACTGTTCAGAGTGATACCACAAAGGTGGAGATGAAATTCTCAGTCACATTGCTCAGTAACAGGTGATGAAACCTGGGGTTCACTTGTGAATACTGAAACCAAGGAGCAGTCAGTGCAGTGGATGCACACACATTCACCAAACACTTGAGCACTGCTGGAACGTTCCAGTTGGGAGTTCTTTGACCACCCTCCTTACAGCCCTTGATGTCGCTCTGAGTGACCACAACCTGTTTAAATATGTGAAGAACTGGTTGTAATCACAGTGCTTCAACAATAATGAAGTGTTGATGGGAGGTGTCAAAATATGTCTTAAGTTCACAGGACGCAGACATCTTTGACACAGACATACAAAAACTTATTCCCCAATATGAGAAGTGCCTCAATTCTGGCAGTAGTAGCAGAAGTAGCTTAAGTATATACATATTTTTTGTATATAATAATTTTATTTTCTCATTGCTTGTTTTATTAACTGCTCACCAGAGGTTATTTTCTGAGTAACTCTCGTAATTCCCTATAAGATAGTCTGCACACTTGTTTCGGCTCTCCTCTTAGAACATTGAGTATAATTAATGCAACGAAACTCCTCGGTAGTGTTGAAATTTGTTTATTTATTTATGGTTTATTTTATGATGCTCACAGTAGCTCAGGCTGCGTAGTGCTGAATGATAGGATTATCAGTGAGTAATGAATTTGAAAAGTTATGGAAGAAAATAGTTGTGGCCTAGTGTGCCATACTATTCCAACACTTGTCTAGATGAACTGTAGGAAACTGCACATAACACAACATACACCAAGAATGCTAAGATAGGATCAGGGCGACAACTACATGAGGATTGGTGGTTAGCACAGTGGAAAAGAACCTGGACCTTCCCTGAAAAATCATCACAGGTGTTGAAATTTGTTGTGTCAAGTATGATTCCAAAAATAAATGCAAATCTTCCATGTTGAAGTTGCCATTATTGTTGAGAGCCACAATGTTATGGCAGAATTGCTCAAAAGGGAAGGCGATGTTGGAATACTTACTCTCCCTGGTAGAGCAATATGCACCTTGAATTTATACCAAATGGTACTACTGTCATGAAGAAGTACATGCAAGGAGGTGCTTGTCCATCTACAAAATGTAACCTGCCAAAAGTGACCTAAAATACAGTCAATCAGAAAATCGCGTTCCCACATGACAATATGTCGACATGCACATTGGTTTTTACTTATTATGTAGCAGCAACTCATCAGATATGGATACTGTGGTGCTTACCCATCAGCAGTGCTCCTGGTCTTGCCTGTCAGATGTTTACTTCTGTTCATGGTTGAACGGTGGACTGAAGGACTGTCACGTCAAGGATGTTGTACAGGTTCAAGTGTCTTTGAATATTGAAATGCAGGAATTCATATTTTGTTGTATGGAAACTATGGTTGCTGGAGGGCAGTATTTTGAAATCATATGTGTCTGAGTGATTAGTGCAATCTGAATATAGATGTAGCTGGTCTTGGAGGAGTTGTTGAAACTGTTACATATATATTAGACAATTAATAGTTCACATTGTGATGTTCATGTTGTCACTCTGCCCTGTCTTTTCACAGTTGATGATGCATTTTGTAGTACTTAATCACCATATTGGAGGCCTAAGTTTTGGAACTTCAATGCAAAGGGTTGTTCGAGCATTGGGTTTTACAAGTTTTCGAGAATTTCTTCAAAAGGACTCACACCATATAATTCCATACCTTGTTCCTGCAATGGTGAAGAATCCTGGAACATCGCAACTGCTGAATGATGTTGGAAGGACTATGATGATTGACCCCAAAACTCTAATAGAGGAGACATTCCAGGTTAGTTCTGAAATTAATAGGAATGGGATATGAATGTTATAGACTTCCTTAAGTTAAGTCTGTCTCATTTCACCTAACTCCCAATATGTGTACATTATTAAAAATTGTAATAGGCTTGAGACTTTCACAGTAGCAAATATAGGGTACAGAGTTCTGCCCCTTGGGATATAACATCAATGGACTAAAGCCAAGAGGCTTTGTGACTATTGCTGTTAGAATCTCAAATTCTTCATTAACACTGTAGTCTTCTGGGATGTGATGTGTTGTGATGTTGTCTATTAGTTGGTTATTAATCTTTTTGGAGGAGCTCCATTTTCAGGGTACTCTTGAGTTATCACCATCACCATTACCATTGCCACCACCATCACCATCACCGAGTGGGTTGACATAGTGGTAATGACTCATATTCAGGAGGCATTGATTTCAAGTCTCTGCTAGGTAACTGGCTACCCTGACTGTTACAGTTAGAGGCAAAGAAATGTCAAACCCATTGCACTGTTGGATTACAGTCGATGCAAGCATAGTTTTGTCTTCAAAGACAAATTACTGCACTACTATTTGAATGAGAGAAGGTGGATGAACAGTTGGTAAATTGAATGTATTTCATATCTGAATGTCATGATAATTTCTGGGAATAAACACAGAAGAGAATTGGTTAGTTCTGTTAGTGAATTATGCTAATATTGTGGAATGCAAAGTGCTGTGCTGACATTCTTTAAACAGCACTGTCACGATTGACAGAAAGCTATTTTATAAGTAAGCTTCCAAAATCCAATGAGACAGCAAGATCACAGAGGTGCTGGGCTTCAGTGAAGTCTTCTCAGGTGATTGTCCTTGTCAGTGTTGAATTAGTGTCTGATGTTTCATAGACTGTATGTCTTTCAATCATCAAGTATTGCATTTGTATATGGCATTTATACTTTGATATGCCTGAAAGCCAGATTGTTGGAGCCAGAGAAGATCCATTGTTAGGCTCTGGCTTAGTAAACACGTTCCTGTGGCAATGTGCACACAATAATATACTAAAAGTTGGAAGCTGTGTCTATGCAGGTCATGGTGAAGATATATAGAGAGGACTAAAGGAATGACTCCCAGAGCTGTCAGACAATAGAATATGGCCATGAGTCATGCAGTACTCTGAACCAAGAATGACTGTGCTGGTGAGGGCCAGCAGCAATTTACCCAACAGACCCGAGCAGGATGGCATGGCTCCCAGGGTTGTGAGACAGTAAAATATGGACACGAGTCTCACAGAACTTGGAACCAAGAATGACTGTCTGACTGCCTGCTGCTTGCCCTTGCCAGCACAATGGTTCTTGATACTGTCTGATAGTTCTGGGAGCCTTCAGACACACTGAATGTGTTGGTGAAGGCCGGCAGCAATTTATGAGACCAGGTGAGGATGGCAGTGGCAGTCAGCTGTCAGTGGTTAGCAGTCAATTGCCAGCCAGTGAGGACGTGAGCCCATTGTTGGAAGCCGCTACAAAATAATTTTTTTTTTAATTTATCATTTATTAGCAATCTGAATTTACATTCTAGGAGCTAATTTGCTGTCATGTACAATAAATTCTATTGTACTAAGTTGGCTTGANCGAGTATAGCAAACTGGGAAGATATGGTGTATGCTTTGTTTGTTTGTTTGTTTGTAGAGTCTGCAGATCAGTGAAAGTTGTGTGACTTTTGTGGTTACAAGTAATAAGCATTCTTTAAACTCAGTATTCAACCCAGTCCCTTTATCTGGTCACTGACATGTGACAGCTGGGGTTGGATTGGTTTGGATAGAATTATTGTACTGTATTGAATTGTGCATCATTGGACTGGAACTATGTGGTGAATAATTCAGGTGGACTGGCCATCATAGAGAGGATGGAGGCCAGTCAAGAACAGATGAAAGCCAAGATGGATGCCAGTCAAGAGATGCAGGCCAATCAAGAAACAATGGGGACTGCCCATAGAGAGTTGAGGGGACCCATAAATGCCAGTGAACAAGAAATGAAGACCAGTTTAGAAAAAATGGGGGCCAGTCAAGAAAAGAATGAGGTGTGGGTTGTCACAAGGTCCAGCTAGCAGGAGATAAGCCTGATCTGATCCACCCAGGCTGAATAAAAAAAAAGCCAACCGATGGAAGGTACTCTAGTGTCTGTCAAACCTGGAACAGGGAGCCTGTGTGCAGGACTCAGCAGCGAGATCCAGGCGAAGTGACTCAACATACAGATAATAGAGATGCTGGTAGAAACCAAACAGTGTGAACTCAGAACCAAATTGACATAAGTTGAAACCCCAATGTGGTGTAGAGGCGCCTGGATCATGGCAGCCTTTGTGTATAGCATTAGAGCACCCATGGACCACCTTTGCCAAGGACCAAATACAGCAGGACGGAATGATCCATTTGCTGGCAGTGTGAAGGCATTGGCCATCTTAGAAGAGAATGACAACAGAAGTATTTGCTGGAAGAAGACTGAGATCAGAGAAACGAAGAAGCAGGCTGATTCCACAAGTCATGTCTTGTGACTGTTGATACAGGAACATCATTAATAATCGCCAGAGTGGATATTACTGCAGGATTATCAGAGAGACCTGACTATGACCTTATCCTGAAGGGAAATTTTAGTGAAAATGACTCGGGTGGTACACACTGACAACTTGCATGCTTTGTCTCAAATATCACCAACGGGAGAAGCAGTGAGGTGGTAGGGACTTGGTCATGACAATGTGGCTGGAAGGCTTCCTGGAGGTGGCAGATAGCCTCACAAGGAAGGGTTCTCTGGCTGTCCATTGAGCTGGGGTATGTGGCGTGAGAACACTTGTCCAGCCCCCAAGGGAGGCGCATGTAACAATGGCTGGAGACCAGTGACAGAAGCACGATAAGAGAGGCATATGTGCAAGAGGGCCACGGCATGCCAGAAGGGCAGCCCTAAGGAGGGAATAGTTGGAGAAGAGCAGTGCAAGACCTAACCTACAGGAATGAGGGCTGAATGCTATAGAAAGCAGAGAAAGAAGTGTCAGGCCCAGTATGAAGTTGTGCCAGTCACGAGAGTAATCAAGGATGTCAAGGGGAGGCCTCAGAGTAGAGGAAGTGGTGGTATGCATGTAGGCTACTGAGGATGAGCAGGTGTAAGGAGGGAGCAATGTGATGCAACACCTGGAAGCCAGAGGAGACAGCCATATGCTACCATTGCTAGGCATTGGCTTGGTAAACATGTTCCTGCAACAACAGATGTGCATACTACAATAGAGGAACTGTGGAAACAATGTGTTTTGTGTAGTCCATGTTAAAATTGTAGAGGGAGGACCAAGATCGACTCTGCTGGTGAGGGCTAGTGGCAGTTCACCCAATGAACAGGACAGCAGTGAGTCAGTCTCATGACTCAGTCAGGGTCGTGAGACAGAAAAATATATGTCCCACAGCGTCTGGAATCAAGACTGACTGTGCTGGCGAAGGCTGAAGCAATTTGCCAGGAAGGATGGCAGCAGCAGTTGGTGGGTAGCAATCAGGTGCCAGCCAGTTAAGACAGGAGCCATAAAGGGAATACACATTCTCAGAAGACACTGCCAAGCAATGAATAGCGAAGAAATAGCAGGTGTCGGTAGCTGTACTTAGATTGTGAGAGTGTTAGAGTGTTATAGTTATTTGTGGGTATTAGTATTAAGCATGGAATAAATTCAGTAATTAGTCAGAAGCCTTTGTCTAGTCACTGACATGGACAGTACATAGATGAAGGTGCAGGCTTCTCAGTGCCAATCACATGGAGTTAGTCAGTGGTAATGTGCCCGAACATAGACCCTGTGGGGAACAGTGGGTGGGGTTAGTTGGTCAGTCATCACAATTCATGTTGACCAGTTGACTCCATCTACTAATCCCCACACTGCCCATGCTGTGATCTTGCTCTGTGCATAAATACTGTATTGAAACACGAGATTCACGCCAACCCCTGATGGTGGAGATAGAGGCAGTCTCTAAAATGTTGGACAGTAACTCCACCTTGATGAGGCTGATCATCAGAGAGGACTTCATTGTGTATTTTCAACATGAATGCTTGAAATCGCATGTAGACAATATGCTGCTTGTCAGAAGTGCAGGAAGGGAGAAGACACTGTACACGTGTTCTTTCATAATTTTGGGATATTGTATGCTGGATTTCATGCAACAGCAGTTTGATATAAGTATGTAGTTTTCAAGCTTGGTTTGTAGCTTGAATATACTGTTGAACTGCAGTTCAGAAGTCTGGATATTCACACACATTCACTACATTCAGGATGTCTGTAGAGCAGACATCAATAAACACTAGCTGAGGAATAATATCATGTAGACTCTCTGTTGGATGTGGATTGAACACAATTCACACCACAGTGTGTGACATGTAATGGAACTTATGTGGCATAACATGTGGTTATGCTCTAGACATGTCACTTTCCTTTCCCTTGATTCAGTCCATACACATCATGAAATGACTGTAATTTATTCAGTATTATTCAAATGGTTAAACATTTGCGGATTATATATTGCTAGATCACATAACATCCTTTAATCTTTGTCTTCTTATAGTAGGGATTTGTATAATGGTATTAGTATTGAAAAATGCAATAGTTGGGCAGTTGGACCATGTGCTTTACCATTACAGTAATGCAGTATGCAGCCAGTGTAGGTTATTTATGGGATTTATCTTCTTGAAGTACTGTAGAGTGGAGCTGAGTGAATCATTTGCATTAAATTAGAGGTTAATAAGCTATGTTTCATGAATGTATATTTTGCCAGTCTCTGTCATTCCAAATAATCTCTGTTTGATTGTAGCATGTCTATCCATATATCTACCTGTATGAAAATGAGGAATCTCTTGCCATGTGCATCAAATATATGCAGAATTTCACTGGTATAAAAGTAAAGGATCTAAAGAGACGCTCATTTAAGGTTAGTAATATCCATTTTGGCCTTGACAATGTGATATTAAATTATGTTTATGTTTTCAGCTGTAGAATTTAGAATGACATTCCTGTATGTGTATAGGTTGTTTTACTTACTATATACTTTTCTAACATATTCATTGGATGATGTAGATAGAACAAGAGCCTTAGAAGAATGATACTGATTTTGTCTGAAGTTTCATTTTGTTTGTTGTTCAGTATGAAAAGAACCATGTTTTAATAAGTTCACAGGCATTGTCTCATCATAATTTTTTAACAGGTCATCCACAATGAGTTGTTATTGCATTATGAATGCCAGAAGGAAAGAGTGCTTGGTGCATTGCGTGATTTGGCTAAAGATGATCCAGATTATGCAGTTACTGATAAACCTATGAGCTTAGAACAGATTGTAAGTATATAATTGTAATTAGCTTGCTGTCTTTTCTGACAAGTATTAGTAATGAGAGTCGGTGCTTTCATAACTCTGACCTAGTCCTTTAACCTGAGATTGGTCAAAGATGGTCAAATAGTTTTACTAAAGACCATTTTGTGAATGCAGAAATTAAGTCTGCATAAAATATCTTCTGATGCACTTAATTTATTGTCTCCTGGTATTCTAAAATGTTAAGAAATTTTGTCATCTTAGACCAAGCTGTATGTAAAAGCATTAAATCTAAGAATCTTGGTTATTGGAGATGAAGGCAGCTTGTTCCTAAAAATCATTGTTTCCTGTCTACCAGACTGCATGGTGTCACATCTCAGAAGACAGTAATCTGGAACTATACAGTGTCTGTAATAATTAACTTAGCTGTAGTCCTACGTTTAGACCTCATTTCTCAAAAAACTGAAAGGAAACCTACTATTATGGTTACTAGCCATCAGTAAGATTGATACAATTGGTAAAGTCTTGATCCCTGCCCTAAATATGATTTCTGAAGGTGCATACTGGTACTTATTTTCCTCTGGTCTAATTGTATATAGATTCTATAATTATCCCCCCCCCCCTTCTCCTCCCAAAGATACTGCCATCTCAGAGTTGCTGTTTGCTCTAGTCTTATAGAGACTATAGTCTTACCTGTTACTGTTTGATGTAGACTTTTAAGACCATAGAGAACTAAAAAGGAAGTTCATGAATTTGGATATTTGCACATGATTATATAAAACTTATTTGCAGATTTTGTGTGTCAGATTGTGTGCTTACATAGTAAGAAAATGATTCATTTTCCAGGCTGACTACCTGCAGCCCAGGTTTCTCGGTGTTCTGGTGTTCTTTGACAGTAAGCTGGTTACAAGGAAGGTTGCAGAGTCAGTGAAGAAAAAGGCTTTGTCATCTTTGCCAGAAATCATTAGGCTAATGGGACCTAAACATATCACTCCTGTGAGGTTCAAGGTTCTTGCTACACTTCGTACGGCCCTGAAGCTGAACTACAGCAACTTTCCAGACTTAAATGTTGCAGCGTGGGATGCCTTTGTTCACAGGTTTTGGTTATGAAATTCAGTCCTTCCTTAATATTCACGAATTTGTATTCACAGTTAAGTTCCCAGCAATATANTGTTCTTTTATATTAGGTGGAAGTTTATTAAAAATTTTAATTCCAAAATAATATGTTCCCTTTTGAAAGACAGTTAAGTTACATGAGGGATAATGGAGGTTATTACTATGTCTTGTGTTGATTGTATGAATCTCAATTAGATAAAAATAGATCTTTGTTTTTGACCACAAATAACAAAATGGAAAAAATATACTGTGAGTAAAGGGGCAGAATCTTTAATCTCTTAAACAACTCCCGACAAGAATCTCTACTTCTAGAATTGATGATGACTCTTATTACCCTCTTCTGTAGTCTAAAGATACGGATGGAAATATGAAAAATATACCGATCTCATTGATTGTAATAACATATAGGGTTTAATAGCCCTAACTGCATAGAAAGCTGAACCCAGTTTGGACATGAGCCAGTCAATGTGTCCTTTCCATGACGGTATTATCAGTCATCAGACCGAGGAACTTAATATCAGCAGTTATAGCAATTTGACTGTTACTATAAATGAGAGGTATGTCCAGTGTATTACTATTCTTGGTTAAGAAATGCATAAAATACATTTTATTGAGATTCAGTGTCAGTAAGTTAGCCTTGAACCATTCATTTATATTTTGGAATATTAAATGTAGTTTGTTTTCATACTCAATACGATTAAAGTTCTTAACAATAATACTGGCATCATCTGTGAAGAGAATGGGTATTGATTCACAAGTGTCGATCAATAAGTACCCGTGTTTGAAGACAGGTGGCGTTGCTGAGGGAAGTTGGCATTACCATCGTGTGAATTGTGAAAAGCTTGTGTCTTTATTCCTAACACGGGTACTTATTGATCGACCCTCGTACTCTTTATAATATTTGGCAGGTCATTAATGTATAACAAAAACAATAAGGGACCTAAGATTGATCCCTGGGGAACACCATTGACAATCTTACCCCAACTTGAGTGAGTGCACTTCTTATTAGTTACAACTCTTTGATGTCTGCCATGAAGGTAGGATTCCAGTAACGCATTAGCTTTTCCTACTATTCCATAAAACTTCAATTTAGATAATAGAACATCATGATTAACACNATTGAATAATATTGCGACATATTGATGGGCAGGTCATGTAGCACGAATGGGGGAGATAAATGTGTATAGGATATTGGTGGGAAAGCCAGAAGGAAAGAGACCACAGGGAAGACCAAGGCGTAGGTGGGTGGACAATATTAGAGTGGATCTTAGAGAGATAGGAAGGGATAGTATAGATTGGATAGGTCTGGCTCAGGATAGGGACTAGTGGAGGGTTTTTGTGAACACGGTAATGAACCTTCGGGTTTCATAAAATGCTGGGAAATTCTTGAGTAGCTGCAGAATTGGTGGCTCCTCCAGAAGGGCTCAGCTCCATGAGTAAGTAAGTAAGTAATTTGCGCTGTCCATGACACTCCCTCCCCCACCAGTGGTGACGTAACAACATTGGAGCGCTGTCGCTGCTACGGTAACAGGCCAGGCAACACTCCGCCCCCCCCCCCCCCCGCGGTGACATAACAGCACTTCACACTGTGACGTAACAGGGGACACTGCTGGTAACATGAGGCAACAGGGAAATGTATAAAAAGCCGGCTGAGCAGTATGTGAGCAGTGAGTGTGTGTGATCTGGAGTGACATAGTGTGGATCGTGAAGTCGCCCAGTGCAGCAGAAGTTAGTTGCAGTCTAGCATTCGCCATTCTGGATCTAGCAAATTTATTGAACACTTGCTCTCACATTTACACAATTCACAATTACACAAGTACTGCCATCTGCAGTGTCACAAATACTTCTCCCGTTTCCATTCACTCCAGCGAATGCTAGACTGCAACTAACTTCTGCTGCACTCGGAGGCTTCACAATCCACACTGTGTCACTCCTGATCTCACACTCTCTGCTCACATACTGCTCAGCCGGCTTTTTATTCCGTTCCCTGTTGCCTCATGTTACCAGTGGTGTCCCTTGTTATGTCACAGTGGGAAGTGCTGTTACATCACCACGGGGGAGGGGGCGGAGTGTTGACTGGCCTGTTACCGTAGCAGCGACAGCGCTCCGATGTTGTTATGTCACTGTTGGCAGGGGAGGGGGTGTCCTTCATAGCGTAAATATGTCACAATATATTGTTATTCTTTCTGTGATATAGCAATCTTACAAATATAACCTTTTCAATAACTTTTGAAAAGGATGTAAGTAACGATATAGGTCTATGATTCATTGTATTCGTTTTATCACCATTTTTAAATAATGGTATTATTTCAGAGTATTTCAAATGAGTGGGGAAAACACCTGTTGAAAATACTCTTACAGATATAAGTTAAGTATATCATATATATCATCATATAAGTATATCATCAGGTACTTTTCCTCAACGCTTAAAATACGCTGTAATGAAACCACTTTTTAAAAAAGGAGAGAGAAAATGCATCTCTAATTACAGACCAATATCCATATTGACTTCATTCTCAAAAGTCTTTGAAAAAGTTATGTATAATAGACTACTTGAACACTTAAATTCTAACAACATATTAGTCAAAGAGCAATTTGGATTTAGGAAAGACCTAACAACAGAAAAAGCAACCTATGAACTAACTAACGATATTTTAAGTGCTCTCAATGACAGATTAATT